TTCAACCTAGACAATGAAGAAATAGGAACAGTAAAAGAATTCCCATACCTGGAATCAAACATTGATAGCAATTGGGATTGCAGTTAGGTAATCAGAAGAAAATTAAGAATGTGGAGGGTGGCTATGAAAGAACTAGAAAAGATTCTAAAATGCAAAGATATACAACTCAGCACAAAAGTTAGAATCATACAAGCCATTGCATTCCCTATTACCATGGATGTATGTGAGGGCTGGACAGTTAAGAAAGATGATAGGAAGAAAATCAATTCCTTTGTGATGTGGTGCTGGAGAAGAGTGCTGACAATCCCACGGACAGCCAAAAAGATAAACAAGTGGGTCCTAGAGCAGATCAATCCGGAAACCTCTCTGGAAGCCAAGATGACCAAACTGAGGATGTTGTACTTCGGACACATCATGAGAAGGGAGGACTTTTTAGGAAAAACAATTATGCTGAGGAAGGTGGAGGGAAGTAGGAAGAGACGAAGGCCACATGCCAAATGGATGGACTCTGTTAAGGAGGACACAGTATGGGGTTGCAGGAATTAAGTAGAGCAGTGGAGGATGGAGGGTCTTGGAGATGTCTCATCCATAGGATCGCCATAAGTTGAGATCGACTCGAGGGCAGTTAACAACAAAGGTTTATGATATTACCATAGGGGGTGGTGGTAAAGCTTTGTATAAAAATATACTTTAATAGAAAAAGATTTACAGTATACTGTAGATTCCTAACATAGGTTTCAATGAGAATCCAGCATAGCAGACAAAATATTAATGTCACTATAGGTTCGGCCTTTCCTTTCCTTTTCACCCCTTTCTTTGCAAACATATTTTGTTGAATTCTGATGCTGATAGTTTTTCCATTTGGAGTCAACAAACTCATTTCTCCACCCAAGCCTTCCCTTCCTCCTCCTCTCCCTCCTTTCAACAAGGTCAAGTAGCCCTGAAATGTGGCCATTCCAGACATGGTCCTCCCCCGTTGAGCTCACAGTAAGAGATCAAGGGTGACAGGAGGGAAATTGAAGACCTCAAGGGGACAAGATGATGCAGAACTCCGTCTGGCTTGAGATGAATGCCAGCTAGCTCCTATACAGTTTAACTATCTGACTGTTAGCAAGCAGAGCAATGTCTGTCCATTTACACAGAGGGAATCTGAGGACAATGCCAATAGTGGCTGAGATGGTTCATTCACTCCCAAGGGTCAATTTTTTCACTTGCATGCCCAATCCCAGAGAGTGTCGTGTTCATTGTGGTGAATGGATCCCACCACCACCATCTAAGATTTCTGTTGTGAGGATTTTGTTTTATTGTATTTTAGACATGTACATGTTGCATCACTCATCCAAAAATCAAGCATGCAGAGAACTGATTCACAAATAATTGCATAGACAAACCTATAATCTCAAAGGCAGCATTGTTATTTTACATCAGATGCCGCTTTCTTGCTAATGCCAGTTTAAAATCTCCGTCTTTCTCTTCCTCCTTCTCTACCACCTCATTCAAGTTAGTAAGCAACAGCGGTGTTGTGATGCATTCTGAAATGCAGGAGTTTGCTGTAATATGTATATGTAGACACCCACACTAAAAAGAGCAGTAATATATAGCAAAGGCTGGTAGTTTGGAAGCACTCTTGGATTCACAGCTGTGAGAGAGATTTAATGTTATCCTGCCACAAACAATAGCAAAACATGGACATCTCAGTTACCTTATTCACTTCTTCAGGACCAATCCAACAATGTTTTGCAGCCAGAGGCCAAGAGCAAAAAGGGCACATCAGTATATACACATCAGTACACATCATCCCGTGTACAGAATGAAACTGCACTGGCAGTTGAATTTATTTCAAAGCTGGTGATGCTGTGGCATCCTGATGATCGTAGAGTGGTGTAGATAAAATCCTAGAATCCTAGAGTTGGAAGAAACTACAAGGGCCATCCAGTCCAACCCCCTGCCATGCAGGAAAACATAATCAAAAAACTCCAAACAGACGGCCATCTAGTTTCTGTTTCAAAACCTCCAAGGGAGGAAATTCCACTACACTCCAAAGCAACGTATTCCGCTGTCAAACAGCTTTTATTGTCAGGATGTTTTTCTTAATGTATAGGTGGAATCTGTTTTGCTTTAGTTTGAATTAATTGCTCTGTGTCCTAGTCTCTGGAGCTGCAGAAAACAAGCTCGCTCCATCCTCAATATGACATGCTTTCTAATATTTAAACATGGCTCTGTCACTTCTTAACCCTTTCTTCCCCAGGCTAAACATACCCAATTCCCTTAGATGTTCCTCATAAGGTATGATTTCCAGACCTTTCAGAATTTTTATTGCCCTCCTCTTGACATGGACAGGCTTGTCAATATCCCTCTTGAATTGAACAGTATTCCAGGTGAGGTCTGACCAAAGCAGAAGAGAGTGATATTATTATTTCCCTCTATCTAAACCAGGGGTCCTCAAACTACAGGCCGCGTCTGGCCCGCTGAGGCCTTTTAACTGGCCCACACTGCTCCTGGCATTTTTTTTTTTTTTGCCACCTGGCTTGTTCCTGGTTTGAGGGAACTGGCTTCAGGTAACTGCCACCGCTGCCTGGGAGAGTCGAGGAGGATCGAGAGAGGGTCCCTGCCCGCCAGCCCCCCAGAAGCCACTCTCCCGCGTGGGGACCCCCTCTCGATCCCCCTCGACTCTCTCAGGCAGCAGCAGTGGTGGTGGCGGTGGACAGGTGGACCCCGGCGCTGCCGCCAAGATGTGAGGAGGAGGACAAGGAGGCTGCCAGGACCGGACTGGCCAGCCTCGGGGTGCCCAAGTGTGGGTGCTGGGGCTGGGGGTGTGGGACCCCCTGGAGGGGGGGCGCCGAAGAAGGGCAGCTGCGGCAGGGGCTGCTGGTCGGTGTGGCAGGGGCCCAGCAAGGCCACATGGGGTGCCCCTTGTGCTCCTTGAAGCCCCCACCACCCCTGCCACCCCCTGGCCCAAGCAGCTTCTCCCCAGGGGCAGCGTAGTGGAGGAGTCCAGAGGGGGAGTGGTGGAGGGCGGCGAGCGGCGAGAGGGCCGGCCCCAATGAGGGGACTTCCTTGTGCAGTGGTGGTGGGGGCTGCGGGTGGAAGGGTGCGTAGAGGCTGCCCACGGAGGTGGCCAGGCCCTGCTTCTCACCATGAAGGAGCATGAAGCTGCCGCTCATGTTGCCCAGCTGTGAATGATGGGAGTGGGAGTGATGGTGGTGGTGGTGGTGGTGCAGGAACTTGTGCAGGGTAATCCAGTGCCTTGGAGTCATTTCTATGGCGACCCCTATCATGGGGGTTTTCTTGGCAAGTTTCTTCAGAGGAGAGTTGCCATGGTTATCCTCTGAGGCTGAGAGAGTGTGACTTGCTCAAGGTCATGTTTGTTGTTTTTTTACTCTGGCCCGCCAATGGTCTGAGGGACGTCGAACCGGCCCCCAGCTCAAAAAGTTTGAGGACCCCTGATCTAGACACTATAAATGCAGCCAAGGATCATATTGGCTTTTTAAGCTGACGTATCACACTAATGACTCTACCATGGTGCAGGGCAGATCCTGTGGTACAGTGCTGCGTCCCCCACCATCAGGGAATCAGAAACAATGGCTGTGGGCATGGTGCTTG